AGCTTATTTGAACATGGCTAGAGATGTCAAAGATGTAAGTACTGTTTTGATGCTGCTATCTTGCCTGGGCCAAGTGGCACTGATTCTTCTGTCTAGGTTTGGTAGGGGATGTTTAGGTGAATGTTCAGCCCTAACCCGGTTGTTTACGGCTCTAGGAGAAGGTACTAGGTTATGAACCTGCACTTTGCTGTCGATAAGGCGCTCCATGGAAAACATTAACCCTGGCCTGAACTTAGGGGCAGTTGGACAGCAGTGTTAGCTGGAAAGCAATGTACTTCAGCCAAAAGAAGCAAGCAGACTGCTGTCAATTTTCAGCCTTTCATAGAGAAATCAGTTCAAAAAAGAAGAGAAATCAGACCAAAAAAGGAATATATTTGACTTGTCTATAGCTTTTTTCTTTAAAACAAGAACAGGATCCCATCTTCAATGGGAGTCTCAACATACTGCCGCCAATGCATACTTTTTCCTCGGTGAGACTGCTTACATCCCAAATAGGTGGAATGAATTATGTATATCAGCTTTAAGCAATACTGTATTAGGGAATTTTGACTTTGTACTTTAAACCAATGTAATGAAAAATTAAATATTAATATGTCCTCAGAACTTTTCTCAAATATTTGTAATATCATAGAATCATAGAATAATAGAATGGTTTGGGTTGGAAGGCACCTTAAAGATCATCTGGTTCCAGCCCCCCCACCATGGGCAGGGACACCTACCGCTAGACCAGGTTGCTCAAAGCCCCATCCAGCCTGGCCTTGAACACTTCCAGGGATGAGGCATCCACAGCTGTCTGGGCAACCCGTTCCAGTGCCTCACCACCCTCACAGTAAAGAACTTCTTCCTTATATCTAATCTAAATCTACCCTCTTTCAGTTTAAAGCCATTACCCCTTGTCCTATCACTACATGCCCTTGTAAAAAGTCCCTCTCCAGCTTTCTTGTAGGCTCCCTTCAGGTCCTGGAAGGCTGCTAATATGAGACAGTTAATTTAAGAGGCAGTGAGCAGAGGTAAAGTTTTTACATTTGTTTTTTATAATCTTGCAAGTAATTAGAATAGCCCAAGCAAATTAAACATTACCGAGTAGGAAATAGTTGCTGGATAGCAGCCGGGGAAATTTTATTCTACAGAAGTCTTGGAAATGGGAGCCTCTGACATTTACGGGATTGTAGGATGGTGGTGATATAGGTGGCTGCTGAATGCACGCAACCAGTGTTTGAAATGTCACTTGTTTGTCTCTGTAAGTCCAGTGAAAAAAGTGACAATTATTTTGTGTGTCTCTTCTGGCGGAGTCTCCTCTGTGACTTGATCCCACACAGGCTTGTGAGAAATGGTTTCATTTGCCCTTCTGACACTTTGTGAGCAGGTGACCTTTTTGGTTTTAAGCCTCCGAGAGTCTTGTTTCCAATGATGTTTCCCCCTTTTCTCTTCCCTCTAGATAGTCCCAGTGTTCACATACCTTTTCAGGCCAGTAATCTCCCAAGAGAAGTGCCACCATGTCCCCCTCTCTTAGTTTCTCTGTAGCTCCTGATAGGGGAAGGCAGAAATTGCATTGATGTGGCTTCTTATTTTTAGTATTTTCTCCTGTCATTGTTCATCCTGTGGGAATACCAGAGGTCTCCCATTCTGGGACAGGGTCTTTGTAGATTACCGAGTGCATTCTAAATGCCTTCTGCCAAGTGGAGGTGATGACTTAAGCCTGGTTTACGTGTTTCCAGGTGAATGATCTTCAGTCTCTGAAATTCCACAGATTTTAACAAGATGGGCCAAGATTGCATTTTGGACAAATCATTCCTAGAGATGGAAGGAAGGTCTTGTTCTTACAGCTCTTGTATTTAAGTAACAAACTAACAATTCATTCAGTTGCTCACAGTCCAGGCTAAATTCAGTGGATTGCTGATTTTGCTGCAGTTGCAGCATTAACACTACTCTTTAATCATTAAAGGCATTAAATGCTGCTGTCAGCTGCTTCAAACACTTAGTGTGCATGAACGTGGTCTTTTAATCAGTTCTTGGAGCCATGCATATGCAATACTTATCATTGGATTATAATTAACTGTAATTATGTATGGAGATCAGCCCAAGCCATAAAATGTAAATTTAGATATTTACTATGTTAATAAGAAGATTTGGTGAAGATAAAGGGCTTGATTTTTTAATTTTCACTACCGCAATAGTGTGACGGAGTCTAAGTGGAAGTGTGGTTAAAATTAGTATGGCTGCAGTTAATGTCCATGTTACGGTTTTCTTACTGCAGATTGCTATAGATGAGATTCAGGCCCAAAAGGTCATGTCATCACATAATGAAACACTGCCTCAGAGAAGCTGAGACGGTAGAAAACAGGTTGCAGGAGCCCCGAGAGGTGAGTTTGTGTACAGGCATGCCAGCAAGCATTTTGAACTATATATAAACGTTCCTGATACTTATTTACCTAAGGACAGTTTTGCAAAAGTGCGAGTGGGATTTCTGCTGAGGAAAGGGGAGTATTCCCCTTTATTTCGATGCTGCAGTTAAATTCCAGGCACAAGCGTTTTCCAGGTGTGCACAGAGGTGCTGTGTACAGCTGCGTCAGGGTGTGCTGTTCCTGACACCGATAGAGGGGGAATCGAGCGCTGTGTTGAGCTGCTGTGTTGCCATGCTAACTCCGCGGTCGTCCTCTAAAGGCTTTATTGAAAAAACAAACCAATTAAGTAATATTGGGAATCATAAAAAAGATTTAATGGCTTCTGTGACTAAGGTTCTACTTTAGCATTTAGCTTTTGCTGGGGAGACAGTTGCTTTTTTTTCTTTGTTTACATCTGGGAATCAAATCTTGCATGTTGTGCAAATAATTTAATCTTTATGGCTGTTACTGCTGCATATAAAGTGTTGCTGTGTTGATACCTGCTGGCTAAGTGAAGCAGGAAGGGATACATTTATGCACGTTACTGTTTACTGTATTTAATGGAAATGAAAAGTGAAGTAATAAATTAGGGAACACCACACTAGAATTATTCTCCTTCTTCATTTTGGAACAAAGCATCAGTGTTTCAGGATCCTGGTTAATCACAGTCTAATGACCTGGATACGCTGAAACGTTCCCTTCTCCCTTTCCCCCTGCTCTGGTGTTTTAAATGGAAACGACGTCTTTTGCTGTTGACTGGAAGGCTCCATTTTAGTAAGTTTTCTTGTAATGGTGAGGGGGCTACAAAATGATTTTCAAAGCATCCCTGGACACAGTTCCTGATACAAGAGTACGGAGGGGGAGGACAGACGGGGACGGGATGGATAGGAGCTCTGTAGTTAGAACAACTGCTGGATGTCTCACACCCTCACTTTAGTGTTTTCTTCCTAAAACCACTTCCAGACACTGGAAGCTGACATTACTCATGCAAAATCTTTTTAAAGTTTTAACTGTTTTAAACACTTTCTAAGTTAACTTTTTGAAAGTCACATTAGCACAAAACCAAAGAAATTGCAGTGCTTGGCTGCGTGACTAAAAATGCTTGGAAGTTAATCAGGTATTTAAGCATGTAAATTAAAATTATTGCCTCTAATAACATTACTATCCTAATTGTGAAGAAAATCGAAACATTTAGCCAGTTTTTTTGCTAAGCATATGTGTCTGACTCTTGCCGCAAGACCCGTGGAATCTCTCTTTGCTCAGGGGAAAAGCGACACAGCACATTAGTAGATAATTACCTTCAATTGAAAAATAGATATGAAGCGAGCGAAGGAATCTATTATGTTTCCAGACTGGAATTGTATACAGTTTTCTGTGGTTCATGTTGCTTGACATATCAATTATGACTGCGTATCAGCCCTCTGTATTAAAACATTACTTGACTGTATTCTCTGACTCTTGGCTCGAAGCCTGCAGTATCATGTCTGCAAGTGGTGCAGCTCAGAACCGTTGCTATAGGACACTTCAGTAGTTTCTGGCTACAAAACGTGGCAAGCGGTGGTAAAAGCGTGCCTGACTCTGCTTAATGCCTTTGGATTCCCAGCAGGATCATCTCGTCTTTCCTTTTGGTTGTGTCTTAATTAAACCTTGACGAGACAAGTCTCCCCTCGCTGCGATGCCTGATGCGGGCATCGGATAGCCTGATGCTCCTTCCGTAGCTAGCAGAGCAAGCTGGGGCAGAGGAGTGTTCGCAGAGGGTGATGTGGGCCACGTGAGATTGGAAGGACAGGCAAGCTCTTGTTTTTCTCGTGACTGTAGAGGGTGATCGGAGCCGAATGTCTTCTTACGTAGACTTTTATGGCCACAAAGGTCTAACTTGAAACTGATGATCTCTGCGCCTGCTGGGGCTCAGATCAAGGTCTCTCCTGGAAACACTTTATCATCCAAAATGCTCCTCAGGCAGACCTTTGACAAAGCCTTTGGTTTGAAAACCTGCTGGTCTCCAACTGGGACAACATAGCCGATGTTGGTTTTTGGATCAGTTAAATATTCAGTTGCAATATGTAGAGCAAAATATAGTTTGTAGCAAGAAGTGCAGCGATGATTGACTGTATGTGCGGCGTGTACTGCTGAGTGTCTGTTCTAGGAGAAACTGAAGAGTTAGGCCAAAAGCTTTAAAATCAGATATTTTAATATTAGGTTCCTGTGTACTTCTGTCTTTCGGCCGAGAGAGGCTCAAATGTTGCCTCTCAGAGATGCTGATTATAGGAATCCATCCAACTCCTCCCTGATGATCGGAGAAGCAGGTACCTAGCACTGCTGAAAATTGCGTCGCTTTGATCCCTCTGCTTGAATTTTTGTGCACCCAAGCTGGAAGTTGTTGGATAACAGCTTTTGTAAGAGGGGAACCAGAGAGCTTTTTTTTTAGTAACTTCCACAATAGATAAAGGATTTAGCTCTCAGACGATTTCTAGGGAAAATAAAATTAGGAATTAAGACACAATACTGTCTAGAATCCCCTGATCTGTCAGAAAAATCTCTTCTTGCTGTAGGTATTGCAATAGGTTACTGCTAACCAATGTTGCTAACCTGTATTAATTTCAATTTCCTCTTGCAGTAATGCGTAGAAATCCATTCGGGATGGACATTTGCTGCCGGAAAGGATCCAGAAGCCCACTCCAGGAACTGTATAATCCCACCCAGGTGAGTATCTCGTGGCTATGATCAAACTTCCCAGCCCAATGTACAAATACATTCTCTCTTGAAGGTATTTTGGTCTGGTTTTTCCCATTTATATGCAGTAGCTGCCTTCAGCTTGGAGAACTGATCCTGGAACCTGCAGAGTTTTAGCCATAAAGTTCTACAGTTTGAGCTAAGGGCCTGATTTTTAAAGGTGTTTAGTCATCTAATGATGTGGACTTCTCTGAAATTTTTTCTTAGGTACCTAAAAGCCTTAAAAGAGTACCTTTTAGATCTCCTAGCTAGAAGCCAAGCCATTGTAATTTAATCTGTCAGTCAACACACAGAGTGGCAGGGTGGGGTGTGAGAATGCGACATGATATACATGAAATCAGGAGTGTGGTAAGACTGTAAATTGCAATAACAATACATGAATATCATTGATATGGCTTTCAGGTAGCCAGCTGCCCTTCCTGTCCTGGTTCATTGCTTGTAGGGAGCCTAAGCAAACACAGTAGCTCATACCCTTCCTTACACTGTGTGCTATTTAACACCTGAGGGTCTTGATCGGACCTTAGGATAATCTGATCTAGAGTTGTTCTTGTGACGAGCAGCACAGGCAAGCTACCTGAAATCTGTGCTCCTCTACATCAATTTATTCCCTCCATGTGGGCTGAATTGGCACATTCAGGAGCAGCATTTCCTGTTGGCAGCTGAGAGGAAGTGCTGCCATTGAGAGAAAATGCCAGCTGACTATTAAACATATTTATTAAGGTTTAACAACCGCCTATTATATATTTATCCGTCAATGAATACATTGAGTTTTACTAAATTGGCTATTAAGGAAAGTGACTATCCCAATAAATCTAACGTGTTAGATTTAACAAGGCAGTAAATGTTTTAAATACTATTTGATTATGAAGAGACTCACTATATAGTGTGCAAAATGAAGTCTAGGTGATTTAAAGTATTTATATGAAGAATTGACAACAACCCAAAGATATGTGATGTCCGTTACGTAGTGCAGTAAAGCTCCATTTGCTCGATAGTGTTGTTTTTATGAACATAGGCTGACTTTCTAATTCAATTTGAATTCTGTGCACGGCTGGGAACATGACTTTATCATACTAATATACTGGCCTTTATTGACCATTATGGGAGTTAGCATTGCATAAATGGAAAGTGCATGTAAAAGCCCTGAAGAGGAACAATCCAGTGCTACAAAGGAAAAATATTAGCATTTGCAGGTTAAATTTAAAGACTCTTTGCAGATATTCAAGAAGGGCGGGGAATGGAAAAGAGGCTGGCCGACGAATTATTCTCTCTGGGGTCTGCTGTGTGTCAGTCAAAACCTCCTTGCCCTTTAACATCGTTAAAGGCCATCTCGTAAGAATAAAACACCCCCATCCATTGAAGGGCAGTAATCCCAGAGCCCTTGCAAGCTTGGTCAACTGAAATTTCCTGAGCTTCCTGAAGCAGGGGACGCAGCTGGCAGCTCCTTCGCTGACTCTCCTTCCTTTCTGCACGCCCTGACCAAGCAAACCATTAGCATTCCTTTCCGGGCTCACCTACAGGCCAGCCAGAAAAGTCAAAGTTTGAGGAAGCGTGGCAGTTCTTGCAGCCGATGTTGAACCAAGCAGGTGATGTTTTTTACACCAAAGTGTTTCTGTCAGCTTCCTGACATCCATTCTTATCAAGCTTTTAGTTTTTCTTTTTTTCTTTGTTCTTGGTAATTATTTGCTTTTTGGATAGGGCTTTGCATGCTGCACTCGGTCCTAGAGGGACTGGCAATGTCAGGCAAGCAAGTGCTTGCATTTTGGGAAAACAGTAACAAGAAAAGGCAGTGAGTAGAGGCTGCCATAGAAGACAACAGACTGGAGATGTCCCCTAGAATATTTCTTCAAATACGTGGGTCATCTTTCTTTTTCCATTTTTGCCCAAAGAAATGTCTGTCTCACCTTTCTTAAGGTGGCAGATCAGAGACTGGTCTGTATTTTGGCGGTAGGGTGCTTGTTCCTCAAGAATTCACCAGCAGTTGTGAGGGTGGGGGAACGGAGATCAGACCCCTAATCTTTCTCTGCAGTTCCTTGCTGAAGCACTTGCGATCAGCCACTTGTAAAGTCAAGTTGGAAGTCAATATATAATAAAAATGCAAGAAGACATTTTTGGCCAAAATCTCTCTCTTACTGATCTAGATAATTGAAAACATTGGTTAGATCTTTAACCCTTGACCATCAGAACCTATTGGACTCCTGGTGTGGTGAACCCTTGTTTTTCTGCTGGATGCCGATGGCTGTGTGTGCTGTCACAGGAACTCTTTGGCACTCAGTTTAGCTGCCTCAGAGGAACAGTGGAGCTGATCGAGCAGATATTTGTAGTTCTCCTTGTAGTTCAAAGGAATCTGTATAATTCAAACACCAGACTTAGGCCACTGAAAGATGCCCTGCAGCTATGGCTTTGGATTACTACAAGCTAGGTGCAGTTGTGATTTTTTAAGGGTAGGAAACTTTAAATATTTAATAGTGTCCATGTGCATGTTTTTCACATGATCCAGTATAACAGGAGAGCCCAGCTATGGCTCACCATCCTCTGCTGTGGAGTGCACTGTACATTTCACGTGCTTCGGGTTTCCTTGTGTAGGCAGCAGCGTGCAACCATGACTGCTGCTGCTGCTGTTCCTGGGAATGTCTCCAGGGCCCCCAAGGGAGGGGGCTGTATGGGGCTCCCTGCTTTGAGATGGTATTAAGGGCCCATACTTCCTCGCATGGAGCGTGCTCCTGGCTGTTCCCTGTCAGGGGAGATGAGAGTTTGGCTGTAGATTGAAATAGGTGCCAGATAGGGTCAATACTCTCTCAGATTTAAAATGCTGTAGTTTAATATGAATAAGGTTTTTCTGCTGTGTGTTCAGCATCGGGTTGCGCTGCCCTCAGAAACCCAGATGGAGACAGGTTGATTTACACCAGCTGAGAGTTTGACTGTGGGTATTTACTGTGTTGACACGTAACAGCCTCTCTGATCCTGTGCTGTTTTGTTTCCTTCTATGGAGCTGTTTGAGTTGTTTGCAGACGCCATCATTTGTCTCTTGAATCTCTTTTGGCTTGGTAAATGATTGTGAAAAGGAAAGGAAAGGAAGAGCAAAAAGAAAAAGGAAAAAGAAAAAAAACATGAAAAACAGAAAGGAAGATTTGGCTTGAGTAAATTAACATGTAGCAATGATCTGGAGGTGACTGAAAGAGTGGACTGGTGGCTTGTAGCAGCTGAATGTTAGAATTGCAGTCAAATTTTCAGTGGACTGATCATAATTGCTCATACATTTGGTGGAGGAGAGGATAAATGGGTGGAGATGGCACTGAATTAGGGCCAGAGAAAGCGTCCGTAACAAAGCCCGTGTTACTTATGTCTTAGTTGAGTGTCTGACCTTGTGATTATTGTAAAAGTAGGAACAACGCTTTTGCTCTTTTGCCTGTTGTAGTAGAGCAGAATGTGGGAAGTGCATTTATCTGTGGACAAAAGATTTCTTCTCTAGGGCTTTCACTGCCAGATTTTTCATGAGCACTAATATACTGTGAGGGAAAGAAAAGTCAATATAACTGAACTGGATTTACACTGAGTAAGTGGATTTCCAGACTGTGGTCTCTGTGTACATGACAGACAGTGTGCAGCATTTCTTTGAGACCCTATTATCTTTTTTTTCCTTTCATTTTCAGGTAGACGTTTAGTAATAAAGTGCAGAGGTACCTGCGGCAAATTTTGAGGGCTGAAATGGACCATATCTTTAATGAGTTTATTAAAAAGCCAATTTGGATCTGTGTTAAGCAGAACTATTTTTCTTCTGCCACATAGTTGTAAATGAAAGGAGAAAGAGGATTCAACACGCAGCAAGTAGCAAAAGGAAGAAATCTAGACATAACTGAACACACGTGAAGAGCCTTGCAGGAATCTGACATAAGCTTGTGTGGTATCTTGGGTGTGGGTTTTTTTTTTTGTATACGAAACCCCAGGAATTTAAGAATCTGGGTAAACAAATATTTGCAAGACATATTCTTTGACGACAACATATGCAACTGTGAATTGTAATTTGCATGACTGAGTACAGCCCCACTGCTCCGAAAATAACAGATAATTGTGGATCAGCCCATTGAGCTGGAGTCACTGGAAGTTCAGAATTGGGCAGCATCATACTTGAGGCTTATGCACTTTAGTGGTTAATGTTGATCTGTTTGGTGCAATGAAAGTGCTACTGAATTACAAGAAATTGCAAACCAAAATGGGCCAAATGTTAAAGGAATGGGAAATAATTGCATCTTTAAAGTGAGAATTTGTCTTCTAGTTGTCAAGATTAACATTTAATTCTCATTAAATACAGGCTGCATCATTGTTTGATCTAACTATCTAGACTGCTGAGAGAAACACAGCAGAGATCCAGTCTGGTATCCATTAGGATCCAAATCCAAGGATGAGTTTGTTTCACGTTCTAGTTCGACATTGCCTGACTTCAATTTGTGAGTCAACTTGACTCTTTCACTAAAGGTCACGCTGTTTGCCATTTGTTACTTGCCTTTTCAAACACATTTCTTTTTGTCAAGGAAATATATTTCTAGGTGGCTGCTTTTGGTGTAGCTGGAGCCAGGATGCCTGGTGATTTGCTAAACCTGCTGAGTCAGAGCTGTGGACCTCATGTTGCCTTTATGTTAAGGAATTGTATTGGACTGTTTTGGAGCAGTAATCCCGAAATGACCCATTTCTTTTATTACTTTCACTTTTTTTCTTCCCTTCTTCCCACCAAGTGAAAGGAAGAAAGTGAGCTGTTGCCTTGCAGACAGTGTTTATACATCCTCAGTCACCTCAGGCCTCAAATGCTCCTTTTTTAGAGCTGCTGCGTGATTATCCGTTGCTCAGGCTGCCTGGATAGCATCAGCAAACATCAACGTAGTTCAGCCCACATGACTCAACTTTCATCTCGGTTGGTAACTTCCTATCTTCACTTGATTTCCACTCACTAGGATGACTCTGTGGGCAACTGT